TTCTCTTTTATAGAAACTTTCCTAGTTTTTTTATCATTATCTTTCATGAATTTAACACTTTTTCTCTGGTTTTATGGATATGGGTGTGAGATTTATTTCTGCCACAATTGTTAGGTTTCTTGATGGAGAATCTTAGGACTTGCTTACCTTTGTGCGATTTCTTTCTTAGTTGTCATCCTTCAGCTTCCTCCACCTTCCCCTCCTCCCATCAATATTATACCCAGACTTTTATGATTCCAGAAATATTTGTTGAATGAAGAAAAGCATTTATGCAATGCATAGTACAATTACATGCTTATGATACTTGTAGCATAGCACAATAGTAGTTGAAGTGATAAAGACAGATTTTATTCAAGAACTGCTGCAGTAGAGGAGAAGGGACCTCAGTGTAGGACTGGGCTCAGTTCCAAATACATCATGGACAAGTGGGGATTTATAGCCATGGAGCAGGTGGGGGTCAGTGAATGGAAAATTACTATGGGGAACCATCATGGGTGGGTGGGAGGGATTTGGGTTGAGCAAACTTAATAGGATTCTTGCTGAAGGCAGGCCAGGGTGGTCAGATATGAAAGATGGAGGATTCTCTGTAAAATAACTTAGCAGGATTCTTGCTAAAACCGGACAATGCAGGCCCTAAAAGGATGGATGAAAGACTAAGGCTTCATGGGCTTAGAGGAACCTGACCAAATTTAGTCAAGTTCAGCACCTTTAGCATTATCCACACTGTGTAATTTCTTTTCTTTCTTTTCCTTTTTTTTTTTTTTTTAAGATTTTATTTATTTATTTGACACAGAGATAGAGGGCACAAGTAGGCAGAGCAGCAGGGAGTGGAAGAGGGAGAAGCAATCTCTCCGCTGAGCAGGGAACCCAATGCAGGCTCTAACCCAGAACTCTGGGGTCATGACCTGAGCCTAAGGCAGTTGCTTCACCAACTGAGCCACCCAGGCTTCCCACGCTTGGTAATTTAAAATCTTGCCTGACTCTTTGGCATTTATTACAAGGAGATTTTTAACTCTACAGAATGTTGGAGGAGGAAGTGGCCCTTATCATTCAACCCTGCCCCGTCCCCTCCCTGTATTAGCATTTCCACAAAGATACGTCTGGGAAAGATGCAAAAACAGCAAAACAAAACAATTTCTGGCTAGTCAGAATTGGTGAGGAAAAAGGAGTAGGAGAAGTAGAAGAAGTCCATGAAACTCTTTAGTTAAATGATTTCTTTCTTTCTTTTTTTTTTTTTTTTTAAAGATTTTATTTATTTATTTGACAGAAAGAGACCACAAGTAAACAGAGAGGCAGGCAGAGAGAGAGAGAGAGAGGGAAGCAGGCTCCCTGCTGAGCAGAGAGCCCGATGCGGGACTCAATCCCAGGACCCTGAGACCATGACCTGAGCTGAAGGCAGCAGCTTAACCCACTGAGCCACCGAGGTGCCCCAAATGATTTCAGATATAATCTGAGATCACGTGTATGATATGAATCTCAACCCCCTTACCTCTACTCGTTCCTTACTTTGGCACTTCTTCTATAGAAGACCCATTTGAGATTTAAGATCACCTTAATGTGGCAAGAGACTCAAGGAGTTTAAGGAAAATATCTTTAAGACGTCAACCCACTGAATATTAGGGTGTCGGCTTGCTGGAGTTTGCCTCTAGGAGCACATAGCTCAAAGGACCGCAGCAAACAGCAGCGTGGTACTCTTGAGAATAGGGGTGTTGTAAAAACAAATGGATGGAAAGAAAAAAGCTCAGTCCATAAATGTAAAAGCACATGGTAAAAAAGCTCAGGGGGTTTTATGAAGACATACTATTCAGGCTCATCATCCTCCCCTTGTGGCTCCTGCTGGTTTCATAATTTATTCCTTGTTTGTTTTGGAGCCTAAGGGGTGTGTTTGACAGGATGTTTGACCTTCCTCAACGGTTCCACCGGTTTTGTTGTCACCTCGGTGTTCCGGTACTGGGCTCTTATCCTGTTTGTCCTTGCCCTGGGAAACACCACCCTTTCTTAGACAACTGCTCTCTTTGTTGCCGGTTCAACTTTGTTAAATCAAAGCATTATGGAAATTGAGATTGTAAAGCTAACTAGGCAGCTGCGTAAAACTATGGGCATCCTACTTGCTGGCCGATAGCAAAATATTTTAAATAAATCAGGCCTGCCACTAACTGAGTTTTGCCACACTGCTAGGATTCTGTGAATATTCTCTCCTTATTCTAGGCAAGGTGTAGAGGGTTTTTTTTTTTTTTTTTTTTTTTAGTTTTTATTTAAATTCCAGCAGTTTCACGTGTGTGATTTAGTGATTTGGCACTTCCGGGCAATTACCAGGTGCTCATCCCGACATTAATCCCCATCCCTTATTTCCCCCATCCATCCACCCACCTCCTTTCTGGTAGCCATCAGTTTGTTTGTTCTCCATAGTTAAGAGTCTCTTCCTCAGTTAGGCGAGGCCTAGAGTTTTGTCATGTCTCCACCTCCTTGTTCTTTCTGGAGATGGAGCAATTGTCAGTGTCCAGATGTTATTATCCACGACGACCTGTCCAGCCAAAATTTCTACATAAATGCTGCACAGATCTTCAAGACTCCAATAAGCTATTTTCCAGTACTGGTTGTATGTTCCTTTGGCTACACGATTTTTCCCCCCAGCTGTATGGAGGACAGTGTCTTTAATGATGTGTGATGCAAATTAAAACATTTTTGAGGGCAGTGATTTTCAAACTCTTCACTGCCATTTATAGTAAAAAAATGAATTTTACATTGTGATCCAGGAGTTGTGTGCTTGCTGTCTAACTGGAGCAAGTCTTACTACGTAACATTTACTCTTGTGAGGTGTGGCAGCGCTCTGTAGTTTCTATTATATTTTTAGCTCCTTAAAAAAATGCTGACTGTGACATAGTAAGTGGATTTCTTGACCCACTAATGAGTCACCATCTGAGTTTGAAAAGAACTGCTTGAAACAGTTTCAAGTTTTAGGAAGTCTTAGGATGCTAATTCTGAGAACACTTTGGAAATTATCTATGGGCAGCTTCCCATTTTCATCCTAGTTTAGAGTTGGAGGAACTTTAAGTCCAAGTAGGTTAACACTTCCTTGTCGGGGAACAGTACCATTTGATGTTTATGCTACTATACCATTTATCCCTGGAATCATGCTGTGGGCAGTTTGACCACATGGACTCTAATGTTTGAGTCTAGCCATTATGCTCCTGGGCGGCTTCACTGTGACAAAGAAATTTTTCCCACTTCCTTCCTCCAGTTGAGCTATTTTCTCCTTCCATTAGCTTATTATCCCCCTAGTTGGCCAAGGCCAAAGGGAAGACTGTTAACAGAGCATTTGAGAGTGGTGTCTCCTCTTCTACAGATGACACACATCTATCCTTGTCATAAATCCAAACCCATTGTCATGGCTTGGACAAGAAATAGCTTTAGGCACATACTTAGGCATTAAAAAAACAAAGAGAGATGTCTAAATGTGAACTTTCTTTAAGGCATTTGCAATTTTATTTCGACACCTGCACACATCTTGGTGTATTGGATGTTTTTTCATCTTAGTAATCAGTAGTAAGTGATCTCTTTCTACCCGCATCTTACATTTTTAGTTTCATTGTTTCTGTTGTGAAGGGAATCGCAGAGCTTCATGGTCAAACAGTCAGTTAACACCAACTTTTGAGTTCTCAAATGCCATGTATAGAGTGTCAGTCAGCTCTTGCTACCATAATAGAATATCATCAACTGGATAGCTTAAACGATGGAAATTCGTGTTCTCACGGTTTTGGACACAGGAAGTCCAAATCAAGGGCTCAGAAGGGTCAATGTCTGTCTGGTAAAGGGTGTGTCTTTGGATTGCAAATGGCTGCCTACTAGTTGTCTGCCATGGTGGAGAGAAAGGGCAGGCAAGCTCTTTGGTGTCTTTTCGTATAAGACCACTAATCTAGTTGGACTAGGACACCACTCTTATTACCACATCTAACCCTAATTATTTCCCAAAGGCCCCAACTTTAAGTATCATTATATTAAGAGTTAGGGCTTCAATATATGAATTTTGAGGGAGAATGTAGTCCAGTCTGTAGCACAAAGCCAAGTAAGATCTTAGTGGGGTTTAAATATTGGCTGAAGCCTGCAAAGAACTTTTCTGAATTGTACTTATTAAAGATAGACTCTTCTATTTGAGTGAATGGATATTTTTCACAGTCTGTAACTCTTAATGATTATTAACCACTGTAACACATTTAATTTCTTTTATATTCTCATAATGTGAGTATATGGATGATATGTTGTTTATAGTTAAAATATGCCCAAGAATAAAATGATACCTTTAAAAAGTGATTTTCATAAAGATTTTTTTCCTAAAAATTTTATTAATAGTTAATGAATTTCTAAGCAGCCTAGTACTATTTTCAAAACCTTGTATAAGGAGAAAAGCTACCCACTGTCATTGAGAACAATACATATTTTAGCAAGTAACCATATGTGCTAAAGACATACTTTAAAACAAATATTTTAAGTTGGAATTATTGTTGCTGTCTAGAGGCATGGACGAATTTCTTAATTAAGAAGCTGTAAGGGAGCCAGGTGTTTGTCTCCAAGAAATGTTGCAGAGAGTTATTCCAGTAGCCTACACAAAAGATCTAGTCCAAAGACGAAGAGAGAGGAAAGATTGAGAATATAGAATCTTCTTAAAGCTTTTGATTTGAAAGCTATTGGTCAACTTTTAATGTTTGTAAAGTGCTTGGGAACTCCCAACCCAGTTCTTACCTTTTGGGAGCCATAGGTAGACTATTGATCAAGAAAGACTTTTTGTTTTTTGGGTTTTTTCTTTTCTTTTCTTTTTTTTTTTTTTTTTGTATTTTTTCTTGTTTCTAGGTTATAGAAGTAAGGACTGTTTTAAAATTTTAGGGTATAGAGTTAGTGCTGTGGGTTTAAATGGAAATATTCTCTGTCTCTTTAAAGTATGTTTGCTGGCATGCTTTTACTATGTTAACACATACATGTTTACTTTGTTTATCCTGTTTCAGTGTCTATCAGCTGAAGAGATCTTTTCCCTTCATGGCTTTTCAAATGCTACTCAGATAAGTAGCTCTAACTTCTCTGTCATCTGTCCAGCAGTCTTACAGCAATTGAACTTTCATCCTTGTGAGGATCGGCCCAAACACAAAACCAAACCAAATATTTCAGAAGGTATGTTGTAAGTTTTTTCTCCTGTTTGAAAACTCTATAGGCTGGTCTGAAATTGAATTAACTTCTTTCTTGGCTTTATTGCTTTTAATTAATCTATGTGAAGCTTCTTCTTAAAATACTTACATTCTGAAAGTATTTAGAGTAAGAATAATTAGAACTCATTTAAACTTCATGAACTGTGCTCTTCTATTTGTGGAGTCAAAATTATACTTGGTACTGCTTAAAAATTTTGTAAAATACAATATTTGACTTTATTCTATTATTTATTTACCTATTTATTTATTTATTTATTTACTTATTTATTTTTATAGAGAGAGAGAGTGCATGGGATGGGGAAGGGACTGGAGGGGAGGGGGAGAGAATCTTAAGCAGGCTCCATGTTCAGCCCGGAGCCAATGTGGGGTTTGATCTCACAATGCTGAGATCATGACCTGAACCAAAGTCAAGAGTCAGACACTTAATTGACTGAGCCACCCACATGCCCTCCCCCAATTCCTGATTTTAAATAAAACATGCTTTATACTGCTCATGTTGAATTGACATTAACTATTTGGCTCATAATTGATCAATTTCCATTACCTGTGCTTATCATATTATTTAAAAGCTTGTCAATTTATCTGTAATTTTCAGTAAAGGGATAGGGAATAGCATGGTTCTAGATTAAATATTGAGGTACTGAGTTACTACTGCTTTAATTTTTGTAAATGAAAGAAAAAGGCAGTGACTATTTTAAGTGCCTCTTACAGTATTGCCATAGATGTATTTCAAAGGATAACCTGCTGCAAAGAAATTTTAAAATATAAGAAAACAAGTGTGTGCTTACTATGTGGTTGACACACTTAAGCAGGTAGAAGAATTCTTTTTTTTTTTAAGAATTCTTTTGCAGGGGCCCCTGGGTGGCTCAGTGGGTTAAAGCCTCTGCCTTCGGCCCAGGTGGTGATCTCAGAGTCCTGGGATCAAGTCCCGCATCGGGCTCTCTGCTCAGCAGGGAGCCTGCTTCCTCCTCTCTCTCTGCCTGCCTCTCTGCCTACTTGTGATCTCTGTCTGTCAAATAAATAAATAAAATCTTAAAAAAAAAAAGAATTCTTTTGCAAGTGAAATAAATCATTTATTTGCCATCTGTGTGCAGTTTCTTGGTATCCTCAAATTGTTAACCTGACCCACGTGGGCAATTTAGTTCTCATTTTTTTGTACATTATTCATTCAGTAGGTGTTTATTGAATGACATGCCAAGCACTGTTCTGGGCATTGGGGATTCAATAGTCAACAAGAAAAATTCCCTACCCTTTCAGGACTTAGGGTATAATGGAGAAGAGAAATAATAAGTGTTTATAAAACAACCATAAATAATATAATTTCAGGGTGATAACTGCTAAAATAAAGTAGGTAAGGAATAGAAGGAAATAGTGGGCAAATGTGATTTTTGGCAGGAGGCCTTTCTGATGAGATTGTTTTCAAGAAAAGTCCTGACTGAGGGGAGGGAGAGGACCAAGGTGAGATCTTCTCTGGGAAAAGAACATTCTCGGTCAAGGGAATGGTCAGCATAAGCTTGGGAATGAGCTTTGTGTCTGTAAGGAACAGCTAGAAAGCATGTGCATCTGGAACATGCTAAGCAGGAGGGAGAATATAAGGAAATGATTGCTGGGGCCTAGTAGGGTACAGTAAGTACCCTTAGTGATGGCCTGTGAAGCCACTGGTCTGAGTGAGCACATCTGACCTGAGTATAAAGGACTATAAAAGAGAGAAATGATGGAGAAGAAAAGGGACACCTCAACAAAGGAAGTTCTTAGTCTACTGACTTTTGGATTCCTTTGTGTATATATGAATAGTTTGATCTCTCTCTTACAACAATGATGAAAATATTGATAATAGCCAACTTATGTAGTACTTAATACATGGTGGATACTGTTCCAGATACTTGACCTATCTTAGCTCATTTTACCGTCATATAGCTCTATGGCGTAGGAACCGCTGTCCCCATTTTACAACCAAGGAAACTTAGGTCCAGAGAGTTCCAAGTCGTTTGCTCAAGAATATACAACTTGTACATGATAAAGTCTGGTTCAAAACCCAAGCTGTCTCAGCTTTAGGATCCACATCCTCTTTTATAGTTTATTTACAAACAGGAAGAACAGAAGGCCCCAGACATACTTTATTAATATAGTTAGCAATTTTATGACTAACAATAATTTCACAACTAATTGTTTAAGCAAATATTTTTCTAGATTACATACTAAATAGGAATATGTTTGTATCTCTACAAGTTTGTTTAATATGATTTGCATTTTATATTTAAAAGTAAATTCAGAAAATGTTTCACGTATCAACATTTAATAGAGTATAACATATGAAAAGCATAGGTTCTGAAGCCAGGCTACCTGGGCCCAAATCCCAGCTCTATAATTTTCCAGCTATGTTGGGCACATGACTATGTCTTTATACCTCTGTTTTCTTATTTGAAACAGTATCTTTATCATAAGGTTACTATAATGATTAATAACTTAATATTTGTAAAGTGTGTAGAATATAGTATAGCATGTAGTTGGGCCCTATGTATACGTCTGTTAAATAAAATATATCTACCATGTACATAATTCTGGACGTAGGAGATGAAGCTTCAGAAAAAACAAGTCCTCTACTCCGTGCAGCTTAGTGATTGACATTCAGAAATGTTTTTAACCTTAATTCCAGGTTTCCTTTATCTTAGGAACTGGGAAGGTAGGATCAGAGAACTGGGAAGCAGGAAGTGAGAGCACTCCAGGGTCAACACTGTAAAGTCATAAAATGGAAAATCAATAGTTCTAAGTTACAAGATTAGACAGGCACCAAATACTTGGACAGAGACCCAATAAGGACAGAAATTCCTCTTAGGGTACACATTATCTTAGGAACTGAAATGGGGCTGGGGTGGGTGGGACAGGTTAGGAGAAGAGACAGAAAAATTTCTGGAGAATTAGAGAACCTGGTGAAGTACTTATTATTACTAATCTAAGATGTTTAATTTGACACTACATTGCCTTTATTTGGTGTACGATTTTGTTTTATTTTAAAATGTGCGGTTGTGTGTGCAGCTGTGTTGAGCAATTTATTCAATATCTCTGTGCTTCAGTTGTCTCATCTGTCATATGGAGATAATTATAGTACGTTCCTCCTAGAATTGTTAGGGGTATCAAATGAGTTAATATATGAAAATATCTGGAATAGTGCCTGGCACAGAGAAGGAAGACTATGTCTTCCCTCTTCTTAGACATGTGTTCATAAGTTCACTCCATTTCCTGCTCCCTATGTAAGCCTCTTCTTTTCCCACAAATAAGTTATTTTTTAAGTAAGGAAAGGCACTGGATTCTTGAGGTAACTGTTCACTTAATATAGAGCCAATCCTGAGTTCATTCAAAGACAAGAAAAACCAAAGTAAAACTAATTCAAAGGAGTCATGATATAAAGATTTTATAAACATGGTATGTGGTCTAATTACCTTTAACCAAAGAGCCATGGGAAGCCTGAGGAGCGGGGGACAGCCGCCTGGAGGAGCTGGGAAAGCCCTAGAGAAGATGTCTTGGAGTCAACTTAGAGAAACACCTGTGAGTTTCTCAGGCAAGGAAGATAGAATGATGTTTTTAGATAAAGAATCACAAGAAAGGTAATTCTGTACTTGGAAAGCATTGTTAGCTTATGTTAGCATAAAGGCCATGTTGAGAGGTGTATAAATAACACTGGAAAAGTTGTGTGGGAGTCTGTTTATGAACAGCAGTGTCGAATAGGGACATGAGATGATCCAAGTTGTGTTTCAGGATAGTGAGTCTGGTTGGTGGCCATGTCATGTAGGGGGAGAAGACTGTCTTACTGCTCAGAAGAGGGAGTGAGCGCTGATGAGGACCTGAACTCAAGGCATTGGCAAGGAGGATAGAGAAGCTGGAGTGAGATATGTCTCAAGCAAAACTGATGGGATTTGGTCGTCAGTCATCTATGCAATTGACTGGTGTGGGTGAGATATTGAAATTGATTGTAATGTCTCTGCTCTCTGCGGAGGTCCCAGATTTCTAAGGGGAAGGCGATGTGTTTCATATGTGTATGCGATTTTGATTCCGTCTGGTACTGAGAAACTTCTTTGTGTTTTTATTTCAGTTTCAGCATTACATATCCTATCTACTTAATGAGATTATAAATATTTGTTGAATGAATGAGTGCATGTAGGCTAGTGAAGGGACAGAAGGCTATTCATGTTAAAGGAAAACACATCCCTATACCATGGAGGGAGAGGTGGGATTTGGAGTTTTCTCTAAGGGGAGAGTCTAGGGGAGTAGATAGTATTGTTTTAGGTGATAAGGTAGTAAACAGGAATGAGGTGGACCTTCCTAGTTCCAATGAGATGACTTTGCAGGGCCTGGTCAGCTGTCTGGAACTGATAGGAAAGCATCTGGGGAAGATAAAGTCTTGGTCAGTGCTGTGATGATTGTCGTGGAAACAGGAATGTTTACTCTCTGTTCATTTTATTTGATATGCAGCATAGACAACCTGTATTGCTTTGTGTGAATATGTGCCTACACATTTCCCAGTTCTCCAAGCAGAAGATCTAGGTTCCTCATTGGCAGGAACCATGGTTACGTCTATCTGTGTGGCTCCATAAGCATTTGCTAAGGTTGTTTATTTGTAGATAGAGTCACTTGAACTAGAATAATGGTGAGCAACCTTATATTCATGAAGCACAATATAAAATATCTGCAGTTTCGCTGAGTCCCTTGGGTTTTTTAAAAACTAGAATATCTCTATGGGAGCAATGAAGCATATTGCTCATGTATGTCAGCCCTAGAGCCAGAATGCCTGGGTTAAAAATCCAGCTTTCTGTCTGCATGGCTTGGGCATCTCACTGGAGCTCCGTATGCTTTGGTTTCCTCAACTGTATGGGGAAGGAGATAGTAGTCCTTACCTCACAGAGTTTTGTGAGGGTCAAATTCATGAATACATGTCAGTTTCCCTCCTTCCTTCCTTCCTTCCTTCCTTCCTTCCTTCTTTCTTTCTTTCTTTCTTTCTTTCTTTCTTTCTTTCTTTCTTTCT